TATTGCTTTCTTATCAGAAGAAACTAAATTCTTCTAGCCTCAAAGGCACTGTCAGGATCCAGAGGAAGAAGCTGACACTGACCAGACAGAATCCTGTATTTGAATGGAATTTATGCACCATGTATGAGGTGTATGAATATGCAACAGGCTGTTGTTTTTAAGGGTTAATCCTCTGTTAACGGGGATCCTTTTTCGGGCTTATGCTGCCCAGAAAAGGTACCCAGACATCTGTAACTCTTTGTTTCTGTTGTCTCATATTGTCCTAATTCAATTTGTCCAAATTATTATTACTCTAATCGTATTACTATTATACTCTAATCGTATTACTATTTTTTTATAACCATTTTATTACTATTAAACTTTTAAAATTTTAAAAACAAGTGATTGGTGTTTTTCACATCAACCATGCTCTGTTCAGCCTTTATTAGAAGCTGGAGCTGTGATGGCACTCAGCTGCCATGGCTGCAGTTTGGGACTATGAAGTATTTGGGATTTTCAACGTCATTCACTGCGTAATGGCCCCATCAGCTCAAAGCCTCTGCGCCACAAATTGACACAAATGGGTTCCTGCAGCACCTTTGCTGACGAAAATCACAATGCTGGTCTACTTTTTGCCCCTTCAGAAAAATATTCAGAACTCTGTTTACTTGTTGTGAAAAAACGCCAATCGCTTGTTTTTAAAATTTTAAAAGTTTAATAGTAATAAAATGGTTATAAAAATAGCAATATAATTAGAGTAATAAAAATTTGGACAATTTGGATTAGGACAATATGAGACAATAAAAACAAAGAGTTATGGACAGTCCAGGTACCTCTTTCTGGGCAAAATAAGCCCGTAAAAGGACCCACGTTAACAGAGGATTAACCCTTAAAAACAACAGCCTGTTGCATATTCATACACCTCATACATGGTGCATAAATTCCATTCAAACACAGGATTCTGTCTGGCCAGTGTCAACTTCTTCCTCCTAATCCTGATGTATCTTCAGGGCTGAGCAAGGCAGGAAAAGTTTCTTCTGATAAGAGAGCAATAAATTCTTTTTCTCTGAAAGATTCAGGTGTCCTGTGGCTGCTATCTGGTGTGAGTCCTTTCTTTAGAAAAAGTATTCTACATAGCAGAGTTTCTATTTTGACATTATGTTATAACCTAAAACTATATTTAACACACTATTTAAGAAAATTTATACAGCATAACTTTCTAACACAACACATAAAATATTAATTTGAATATTTGCAAAAAGCCAATCATAATAAAATAAGCATTTTTCACACTGTTTCAGCGCTCCCTGCATGGCAATGTGGCTGTGCAGAGCTGCAGGTACAAAGGGTGACTCTTCATTCAAGGCTTTTTCTCTCTGGGGCTGTAAATGAGGCCCATGGACACTGACCCAGGTGAGGGCAGCCCCCGCAGGAGAGGAAGGCCCCCCTTTTGTAGGACCCACATCTCTGCAGGTGCTGCACACTCCTCTTTGGTGCGCACTCCTGTTTTGGATCCCACCTCGCTCTGCCTTGGCTCTGCCTCTCATCTTCAAATCCTCAGTGGCTGCAGCTTCCACTGTGATCCTGACAGCTCTATTTTCTCACCAAAAATGTTCCTTTTTTAGAATTCCAGGCAAGTTTTTTTTCAGGTTCGTTTGTGTGGGCGTTGATAACAGCCTACCTAGAGAGACCTCGAGCTCTTCCTGTGAGAAACAGCTACTCACTTTTCATAGTTGGGGAAGGTTTATTAAACCTTATCAAAAATACAACAGAAGACTGGATAAAGAAAAAAGGTTATGGTGCTGGGAGCAAAAGATTTTCCCACCTCTCGGGTTGCTGTTGATAATTGCTGCCCCAAGATGTGCAGGATGTCTCTGTTTCGGCCCGTGCAACTGAAGAACGAGTCTGGACTCTTCACTTTTCAGTCTTGAGGTTGTTTATTAATTCTTATCTATAAAATTTTCTTTCTGCCCAGCCGAAGTCTGCTCGGCAGGGCAGCCACAGGCACTCTGTGTTGTCCTTTTATGCTACAAACTATGTATAGCATATTTACACTTAATTCTCAATACCTATCATATATGTTAGACAGTGCACTTCTACTCTAAACCAATCCCAAAGTGCCAACAGCACTGCAGAAAATGGAGAACAAGAAGAAGAAGGAGAAAGGCTGGACACACCCAAGTTCCTCCATCTTGTCCCCATAACCCCCATACCAAAAATCCTAAAATCTATATTTTCACCCTGTGATCATTTTGTTATTACACTATTCAAACCTGTGTCACTTTCAGGTCCTCATACAAAGCTGGCAACTTGCTCCAGGGGTCAAAATCAAATCCCCAGGTGCTTTGGGCTGCATGCCAGGGTCTCCAAGACCCTCAGTGGGGTCCTCGGCAACTCTGGACACCCAGAGGAGTTCCAACACCCACCATGTGCTCAGCCCCCTCACAATGGAGGTTTTTTCCTTTTTAACCCTTTAACCCCTCCCAAAGTTCTGTCCATCAACCCCTTCTTCACTGTCCAGTGGTGGAGATCTCCTCCTCAAATCCTGACTGGAGATCAGATGTGTCCATAGTGACAAGCCAGCCCTCCCAGATGTCCCAACCCCAGCTGTCCTTGATATCCACGTGAGGGGGTACAACATAACTGTAAATCTATAAAACTTTTCTTAACCTATATACATGATATTTGTCCATTAATTGTGAGAGTCAACCATTGCATTACTCATCTGTCACATTCCTGGATATAAATCCCCAGAACTGACATCATCCCTTTGGACTGAGTGATGATGGCACATCCTTAGGTGATGATTATTGGTGCTGTGAGCAGCTAAGTCTGATTTATAACCCCACCCCAGCGCTGGCTCAGCATTTGGAAATTCTGTTCATGGTTCCTGAGCATGGTTCATGGTTTTTCAGGTGACATCGTGCCCAGGGATGATGCTGGGGGCACTTGGTCTGCTCAGCCTGAAGAAGGGGAGGCTGAGGGGAGACCTCAGTGCAGTCACAGCTTCTTGTGAGGGGCACAGGAGGGGCAGGCACTGATCTCTGCTCTGGGGTGACAATGACAGGACTTGGGGAAATGGCCTGAAGCTGTGTCAGGGCAGGTTTAGGGTGGGTATAGGAAAAGGTTCCTCCCCCAGAGGGTGGCTGGGCACTGAGTAGGCTCCCCAGGTTCTGGTCACAGCCCCAGCCTGGCAGAGCTCAGGGAGTGTTTGAACACTCTCAGGCTGTGTTCAGGGGGCTGTACAGGGCCAGGAGCTGGACTTGATTTCTGTGGGTCCCTCCCAGCTCAGCATTTTCTGTGATTCTTTGAAACACCTCCAAAGACCTTCAGCACACTGCTCAGCTCATGGCTCATACTGCAATGGGTATTATTGGGTAATATGGGCAGCATGAATATGGACCATGTCCAAATCATGTTATTGAGTCTGTTAGGCATGGTTTATGAATGACTAATTTTTTACCTGCCTGGATAAACTTACCCACCACTAAAGTGTGCAGGGGTAAATCAAACCTCCAAAGAGGCAGGGAAAAGAGGAAGATTTGTACAATAGGGGTGGTGAAAGGCTGCAACAGGCTGCTCAGAGAAGTGAAAAATCCCTGGAGAAGTTCAAGGACAGATTGGATGGGGCTAGGAGCAATGTGACCCAGTTGAAGATGTCCTTGCTCCCTGCAAGGGGGTTGGATTAGAGCACCTTTCAAGGTCCCTCCAAATAAACCATTCTATGACTCTGTCATTCAGTCTCCATCGTTTTCTCCCTCCTTGCAGCACAGCCCTGTACAGCTGCTCTCCCCTGCTGAGCCCTGGGCACAGCTTGCTGCTGCAGCACTCTCAGGGTCCCCACTTTGCTCCCAGCACAGCTCTCAGAGGCTCCTTATTGAGCTCTCACTCACCTGAAGCAGGGAAGCACTCGAGCTGCTGTGCTGAGCATTAAACACTCCCAGGAGAAAGCAGCCACACAACACCAGGAGCTTCTCCTGTGTCTGGTGGAACATAGAAGCTCCACTTCAGGTTTAGGCCAGGGCTGGGTGCTTTTTATTGTTTTATTTTATTTTATTTTAGGTTTTTTAATTTTTTTATTTTTATTTTTATTTTTTTATTTTATTATTTTTTATTTTTGTATTTTTTATTTTATTTTATTTTTTGGTTTTTTTAAAATTTTTATTCTTTATTTTTAATTTTTTAAATTTTAATTTTATTTATTTTATTTTATATTTTATTTTATTGTATTTTTGGTTTTTAAAATTTTTTAAATTTTTATTTTTTGTTTTTTAGTTTTTAAATTATTTAATTTAATTTAATTTAATTTAATTTTATTTTATTTATATATTTATTTATTTATTTATTATTTTTATTTTTAAATGCATCCTCTGTGCTGCTTTTATTGCTGCAGAGACATTTCCTGAGTGTGACCTGTGGCACCTGCTTGTGGTGAGCACCAGGGACAGGGAGATGAGAGAGCAGGAGGTGTTTGAGCCAGACCAGCTACCAAAGGCACCCTTCCCTATGTCTAAAGGGAAAATAAAATCCCCAAATCCACAGCTAAATCTATATAAAGACAAACTGAATATTTCCAGCATTCAGAAGGATGGGTGGCCGTGTGATGGCAGCTGACAAATTCAAGCAGTCACTTGCAAGTGTGAAGAGTAACTAACACAAAAAGCTGAGTGCTGTGTTCCTTTTGGAAGCACTGGTGCCTGCTCCCTCATCAGCAGGTTGCTGACATGCCAAATTTTCTGGGAAACGGAGAAATACACAGCTTTTAAATAGAGACAGCAAAAAAAAAAACCCTCACAAGTTGTTTTGTACTTGTTTTATTACAGTGAAAACCTGTGCAGTGCTAGCCTACAGAGAGAATAAAAGCTACCAGTAACTTTTCATCAGAAAGGAGTCAATCCCAGATAAAAAACCAGCCTGGAAATCATGGCTGTTGCAAAATACAAAGTCTGAGCTGGGACCTCCGTCTGTCATTCCGTTGGAGTAGATCCAAAGTTGCAAAGTTCTCTATGGAAGTTTCTCCTTTAACAAGCTGGGGAGGAAAGGAGGAGAAGCAGATTAAGGGGCATGTTTTCTCTGTAAATCACACAAGATGCTAGGAAGAGTTTTGCCTCAATGTAGGACACCCAAAAGGGAATTTTTTAGCCATCTCAACTGACCTCCACACATAGATGTGTTTGCCAATTATGATCCAGATCAGTAAAACCAAATTATGGTGAGTTGTGTGTAGTACAGAACACAGTGTGGCTGAGGCTATTGGTTATTAAATATGATAACTAATCCTAACTAAAACAAAGTAGCTGGGGATCAGAAATTTCTGCAAGTTTCACTCCAGATTTCTAAAGCAAAGCCTTTTATCTCTCATGGTAAGGTGGATGTGAGCTGGGTGGCTGCACCTCTATTCTGGGTCTTAAACTCACATTGCCCACAAACCTCTGGCTCAGATGCATCTGCAGCACCCCGCTCTGTGTACAAAAAGCTGATTTTTTAGGGTTTAGCCACCTTTTTGTGTTCACACACTTAGGATTCTCTTGCTGGCACAGCACACCCAGCCTGGGCAGAGCAGGGACACTGCCACTCTCTGTATAAGATGCTTTTTTTGGGTTTAACCACCTTTTTCTGTTCACACCTTTAGGATTCTCTGTCTGGCACAGCACAGCAGGCCTGGGCAGAGCAGGGACGCTGCCACTCTCTATATAAGATGTTTGTTTTTGGGTTTAGCCACCTTTTTGTGCTCACATCTTTAGGATTCTCTGTCTGGCACAGCACGCCCAGCCTGGGCAGGGCAGGGCCAGTGCCAGGAGCACCCAGAGATATTGGAATATGAATCCACAGCACACCACAACACAGAGGGACACAGGGGACATCCCCATTGGGACATTACCTTCCTCCACGACGCGGTGGTAGAAGCACCAGGGGACACCAGCGGGGTGTGCCCTGAAGCAGCAGCCCTTCCTTGTGCACTCCCTGGCCTTGATGCCAGGGTAGCCACAGTTTATCCTGGTGTAGGGGTCGTTGGGACACACTTTTTTCACTGTGAAAAGCAAAAAAATGAAAAAAAAAAACCCACAAGAAAGGAAGGACAATGTGTTAATCTGTGCTCTGTCTGCTTGGTGACATAATTCAGAATAAAAGGCAGGACACAAAAGTGAGGGCACTGGGCAGATGGGATAACCTTCTCTGAAACAATTTCAACCACCAAATTCACCCAAATCCTCACCCAGCCTCCTAGGCAAATTAAATTCCAAAGGGTGATGAGTTGCTGCTGTGCCCCAGGGAAAAGAGGAGGCAAAAATAATCCCTGGAGGTGTCTGGCAGCAGCCCATCCTAAATGCAGCAATGGGGTGGAAAGTCCTGTGTGTCCTGCAGGGGTAACAGACACACACTGGCCTCAGAGCAGGTATGGCCATGAGCTGAGCCCATGGTAACCCCAGGCTAACACAGGGAAAGGACCACCCAGCCCTCTCTGCGTGCCAGCTTAGGTTACAGAAAGGAAATAAGTGTTTTAGGAGGAAATCACAGCTCTCCCAGGCACGTAAAGCTAAAATCCCAAATAATTGGATTATACCACCCAGCTTGAATAATTCAGTTTTCCTCTCATGGAGCAGTTCTGGTCAGAAAAGCAATTCTATGAGAATGCCATCCTAAGTTGTTTCTGCTTGTTTTTTAAGGTTTACAAGAATTGCAAGCAGTGCTCAAAAGCAAAACCATTTTTTCCTACAGTAATTCTGATCCCTGTTGACTAATTGCATTTTATATCAGGTTCTTCTGTTGGGTAACATTGCCTTTGCACCCTCTTTTCCTTTCATGCCACCTGAAGTTCTCCTAAGAAGGAGCTGTGCTGTCAGCCCAGCAAATGTAGCTTACACTGAGTTAATTAAAACAGCTAATTACACTCCATTACTTAACACAGTTATGTAAAACATCCAGCTAATCCTAGAAAGACTAGGAGAGAGCAGCTGTTATCCTCTCTGAGAAAATAATGATAAAAAATAGAAGCAGGATGCTGACAGGTGTAACCACACAGCAAACCCACTTAAATAAGTGCTGAGAATCCCTTGCTCTACCCATGGACAAGACCACAAATGACACTGAAATGCCTCTAATTAAACAGCACAGGCTGTTTGATAACTGGAAACCTGAAGGAAGAGGAAATAAACTGTGTGAAGAGGATGAGGCAGGAGTCTAACAGGTAAGCAAGGCTTGATTTTGCATTTTGCTGCCACTGGTCCCCTAACAGAGGTTTGTGCCCAGTTTTCTTGCCTAAGGAGAAATGCAGAACTGCTCCCTGGTTGTACACATCTCTGGACAATCAAACACGAGGTAAATCAGTGTTTCTGGAAGAGACATTACCTTTCTTTTGTTTGGGGTTGTAGCACCAGGGCACGCTGGGGACTGAGGCGTTGAAGCAGCACCCAATTTTCTTGCACTCTGCTGCTGAGATCCCTGGGTAGCCACAGTTTGTCCTCTCCCTGGGAACCACTTTACACTGGCATTTTGCTGTTCAGGACAGAAGGAGCAAGTTACAGGTGTCAGTTTGCAGGGGTGTTTATCAAATGCTCACAATGCTCTTTCCCTAGATGCTTTCCATCTTTTCAGTCCCCTGCTAAGACCACAGCCTAAATGGTTAAAAAATGGCTTTTACACCACTACCAATTTTGGCCAGGGGTGTACATCACATTTTGAGAGTCTGTTATCTCACTTGCAGCCAAGCAAGTGTGGTTTGTAGGCTTTGAATCAACCACACCAAATGGGAAATCCCAAAACCTTCAAATATTAGGCTATTAAATCTTTGCTGCTTTGCCCATCTCATGTGAAGAGAGAAAGACTTAGAAGTCCAGTGGATATTCAAACAGGTGTAAAGATACAAAATCTTTGCAATATTATAAAATATAGGATGATGTGCAAATAGCTGCAGCAACGCTTTTAACATTTTAAGTCATTTGCACAGTCAGCCACAACCCAGAAATTCTGGAGCTGTCCTCCAGCTGTCATTGAGTGACTTGCTTTCCACTTCTGGAGCTGTCTACATGACTTGCCTTTAATGAGGAGGCAGATAGACTCCTTCAAAACTGTATTCATGTGGCAAAGCAGCACAAACCAAATGTCAGAAGAAAATTTATGCAAAGCTGGCTCCTGGTCCTGTTCTAGTGACCCCCTCTGCCTTTGCAGTGGGCTCCTGGTTATTCCAACAACACAAGAGTCCGCCTGCAGTCTTTCTTTGCTATCGATCTCTCTGATAAAAATTAAAAAGCAAGCTCCACTTTGGGGATAAACAGCAGCACAAAAAGCCATTTTCTGTCTGGGCTGCCCCAGCTGGCAGGCTCTGGCTGCCCTCGGTGGGATGAGGGTCCCACACGTACCTGGAGGGCAGCAGCTCATGCAGGTACTTACTTGGAGGTGCACTCCCCTCTGCCAGGGCGCTGAGGGCTATGAGGAGGGTGATGGAGAGGGCACAGACCACCTTGAGATCCATGGCTGTGGCAGGAGGAGAGGTGGAGAGGAGGAGAGGTGCTGCCTTCCCCGGGAGCTGCGGGTTTTATGCGCTCCCCGTGTTTGCCCAGCGGGCTCTGATAACATTGTTCCCTCTGAAGCTTCAACCCACAAGGTTGGGTTTTCTTCTGTTTGCTTAGGAAGTGTTGCCATGCCTATTGTGATATCCCAGAGATAAATTTCTGGGCTCCCATGAGCTATTGATCACATATCTGTTACATGCCTATAGATCCAGATCTGTTACGTGATCCCACAATCAAATGGATGCTGCTGGGTGCCTCTGGCTGCCAGAAACTCTGGCTCTGAGTGCCAGACTTCATTGTGCTCTGATTTCATTGCCTTTAGAGTATTTTAAGCCTCTAGGAAGTTTTATTTTCCAGTCACTACATGTATTTTCTACTCAGTGTATCTATTTCTGCCTCAATTTTCCCCTGCCCTTAAGGTTTTGGTTATGCTTACTCTGAATCAGGTGAGGGAGGAGGGCTGGAGCTGTTATACCTCCAAGCTTCAGGAGAGCACTGTGCACCTGAAAAAAATACATAAACACAGAAAATGGAAGGTGTGGCTGAGAAATACTGAGCACATAAGGCAACTGTTGGTTTCCACACAAGGGCATTTAGGAAAAGAAGGTAAGAGCAGGGAAAGAAACAAACCCCAAAAGCCCAAGAGTCCAGCAGCAAGAGACACAAGAGAAGAAATGAGAGTTTCTGCATGATCTCAGCCTATCCCACAGGTGCTGTGCCCACCCAGGCATCAGTCCTGAGAGTCCCAGCTTTATTTTGGAGTTGCTTTGCCCTGTGCCAGGTCCTGTTCCAGAGGCGCCACCACAGGGGTGTCCCACCCCTCAGCCTGATCCCCAGAGCAGAGCAGCACTTCCCAACCCATCCAACACCACCTGCATGGGTTTTGCCAAAGCCAAACACTGTGTTTGACCTAATGATTTCCTGATTGCTTTCCTCCTGGTTTCAAAGGTGGCCTCCCAGGCAGCCTTTGGGTTGTTTTGGCACAGCAGGCCTTGGGACTTGGACTGCTGGAGGCTTTTATCTTCCTTTTGGACAGTTTCCTACCATTTACTGTAATATTTCTTAACTTCTAGCTGCTTGTCAGCTCTTAAAAGCAATCAGAGCAGGGCCAGGGAGGGAGGAGAAGCAGTGGGATGGTGGAACCATCTCCCCACAGGAGGGACCTGCAGGTGCTCTGCAGCATCACTTTTCCTATGGGAAAACCACCAGGTGATCCTTCCTGCTCATCACCAAACTAAAGAGATTCAATGCACTTTTTGCATCTTTGACAGAATTGTGTCTTCTTGCTTTTGAATATTATATAAGAATTAGTTTTGTGCATCTTTCCATTACAAAGCTCAAAGTGAGAACTTTCAGCTTCTTATGGTTGTGTTTTGGAGGGAGTTTATTTGTTGAAAAGTATTTCCAACAAAGTGGGAGGCATTTTGTCCTACAAGGGGAAAAAAATAATAGTGTTCTTTTTCCTAAAAGTGAACTTATTCAATATGTTATGAACTCTATTTATATCCATACCTATTTAAGACGTGGAAGGCATTTCTCATTGACAGCCACAACTGATAAGTTAGATATTTTCTAGTAATTGTAAATGAGATATTTTGTGTATTCTCCATGTCACAAGAGCCCAGGCTGCAGGCAGAAGAGAGAAATGGAGCAGAAGAGGCAGAAGAGGGAGACGGAGCAGAAGAGGCAGAAGAAGGAGATGGAGCAGAAAGGGCAGAAGAGGGAGATGGAGCAGAAGGGGCAGAAGAGGCAGCTGGAGCTGCTGTAGCTCCATCACTCAGCAGCTCGGATCGCATTTTCACCTCCATCACTCAGAGAAAATGCACTGAAAACTTTAAAATCCAGTTTTCCCGTGATGTGCAGAGGTCCACCATGACGTCTTGTGCAGAGAAATCACGGGGAGCTTTCCCAGAGCCTGGAGATGGGCAGTGAGAGTGGCTGCAGGAGGAAAGCAGCGATCCCGATTCCTGAGGAGGACCATGGCATTCTCAGTAGATTATCAGCCCATCGTGTGAGTCAGCTGAAACTGCAGATAAGTTTGTTGCTCCTGCTCCTTTCTGGACATTAATTAAGGCCTTATCTGCTGGCTGTCACCCCTTGGGCCCGATCCCAACTGCGGGCACAAAGGCAAATCTGGCCCCGAGCTCCCGCTGCGGAAAGAGCGTTCGATTGGCATCTCAGAGCAAACACAGCTCGGGGAATGGGCTGCCTGCTCCCTGCCAGGGGATTACTTAAAGATCTTTAATATGTTTATATAGCAAAGCCTTGAAAATTATCTGGGGTTTCCCTGTAAATGTGTTTCCTTCTGAGAGGCCGGCACCTGCCTAAAGCTTTCGGTAACTCTGTGATGGAGCTCGGGCTCTGCAGGTGCCAGGAGGGGTTTGGAGGGCTCCTTCCTCCTCTCCAGGCTCCTTCCTCCTCTCCAGGCTCCATGTCCTCCTGTCAAAACCCAAAACATTCCTCTGGCTGCCCTAGAAGACTCAAATCCCTAGCAGGAAGCTCAAAGACCTTAGCACAAAGACACCTGTGCCTTTAATTTTAGCCCATGGAAACAATTACCAGGTTTGTGTGAAGAGTTAGAAACCACAAAAGTTTGAATAGAATGTTAGTGAATTTATCACAACGTAAATATGTAGAATTTTGGAGTTTTTGAATGGAAGTTCAAGAAGCAAAATAAAAGAATCTGTGCCCTGTCTTTCTTCTTCTTCTTCTTCTTCTTCTTCTTCTTCTTCTTCTTCTTCTTCTTCTTCTTCTTCTTCTTCTTTTCTTCTTCTTCTTCTCCTTCTTCTTCTTCTCCTTCTTCTCCTCCTCCTCCTCCTCCTTCTTCTTCTTCTTCTTCTTCTTCTTCTTTTCTTCTTCTTCTTCTCCTTCTTCTTCTTCTCCTTCTTCTTCTCCTTCTCCTCCTCCTCCTCCTCCTCCTTCTTCTTCTTCTTCTTCTTCTTCTTCTTCTTCTTCTTCTTCTTCTTCTTCTTCTTCTTCTTCTTCTTCTTCTTTTCTTCTTCTCCTTCTCCTTCTCCTTCTCCTTCTTCTTCTTCTTCTTCTTCTTCTTCTTCTTCTCCTCCTCCTTCTTCTTCTTCTCCTCCTCCTTCTTCTTCTTCTTCTCCATCTTCTGCTGTGATGGCGACACCTTTAGATTAGTTTAAAGTAGAGACAAACTGCCTAACATAAGTAATAAGTATTGGAAAATTATTGTAAATAAAGTACATGTAGTTTCTAGTATAAAAAGCTAACACCACCCCAAGGGCAGTCAGTGTGCCTCAACCCAACCTGCTGGACAGACCTCAGCAAGTAAAAAAAAAATGTATTGGATAAGAAAAATAAGCAACCTTAAAACCCAAAGCTGAAAAATCTTGACTTCTTCTTCAGTCACAGAGCTGAGAAAAAAGACACTTCAATACCTCAAAAGCCATTCCAGCAACACCAAACCCTCCAAACACCAACCCAACAAATCCAGAGGAGGACGATGATCCTCCCTCCTCATCTTCCCCTTGTCCCTTTCAGCTGTACTGTGGTGCTTTCATTTCCTTCCCAGCAAGGAGAAACCACAGCTGTGGATTAGAGGCACCCTGCAACTCTTTAATCTCCTAATCCAGAATTTTTGAAGGATAAGGGTGGGGTTTTTTTCCTATCTCTTTCCCTTAAAATAACAAGCAAACAATGCAACTTTGATTTTCACCCTGAAGGGAGTGTTTTGCCCTGAAGGGAATTTCCTTTTGTGGTAACTCTTAGTTTGGATGCTGACATGAAGAAATCTGTCACTGGGCCAACATCACTGCTTGTGAGCCCATGAAGTAAATCCCAAGATTTAAGTGTTCTCTAAAATAAATAATCAAAACAGAGAAAAAAATCAGTGGCAAAGTAGAGGGGTGTCTGCAATTTGCTCCTTCCAGCTGTGTGAGGCACAGAAAATATTGAGTTGGCACATGAAATTCCTCAAACCAGGACAATATCTATATCAGATAACACTAAGGGGTCAGAAAACAAACAGAGAAAACCCTACATCTTCATTTTGAAAATAAACAATTCAAAATGACCCCTGAGATCCCTGGCTTTGATAAAGATCCCTACCACAGATGTATTCATGCAGTTATCAAAATCAGCTTGAACTTTGTGAGTTCAAACTCCTTCAGGGGAATTTTCTTCAATGAATATGTCATTGAAAAAATTGTCATTCCTGCAAACCACAACCAGTGATGGAAGAGGACTTTTGTCACATTTCTGTGGCAAACATCCTTGCCCAAGGTGAAAAGAAAGATTTAATTACTGAAGTGAATTGAATGTGTAACTCAGAGCTGAGTCAGATCTAAAAGCCTGAATTTCAGCATCCAACACACAACAAAAAGGTCTGATTGGGACTGCAAAGCCCAGAGGCAGCTCAGAAATACTGATCTGAGCCAGTGATTTTCCCTAATGCCTCTGGGATCTCCAAGCAGGCCATGATCTCAGCATTGCCATCATTTTCTGTGAGCACCAGAATAACCCCAGAAAATCCTTATCATTCCTGAAATGAGGTGGGGACCAGCCTGTGGAGAAGAGGACACACTGGCTGGAGCCAGCAGAGCAGAGAAATATGTATTTTGTTTATTTTCTAGACCCCCAATCAGATCTGCAGTGACACAAAGAAGGGAAGAAACTCCTAAAAAATGCAGATCTGATTCAAAATGTGGCCACTGAAAGGTCTTGTTATGATAATGGTCCTGATGCATTCCAGTTTACCATCCCACAGGCAATGAGGGAGCCCAAATCCTGACCTGCTAAAAAGGGAAAAATAAATCAAGAAGATTTATTAAATTGGGCTTAAAGGAAGAGTAAAATGTGTGAGATGTTGGCAAACAGGAGGGTGCTATTGAAGGACACACTCTGAAAAATTCAGTAAATATTTGCCATTGAACAAAAAACATGAGAAGGATGTCCTCAGGCACACATATAGACCCAGAATAATTAAATGAGAGAGTAAAGG